TTATCGTCACTGACGACCACCTGACCGAGATTTATTTTGATGGGCTCACTTAGATGCTACATAAATTCATTTGCTGAACTCCTTCTGTTTCTCACGTGAACATTAAATCATCTTTCTCAGCCTCTTTTCTCTTTGGTTCGATTTTGTTCGAGTATATATCTTATTTACATAGATGCGGATATTTTTTTGTCAAGACTTTAACAAATCATCTGTTCAGTATGACGAAATAAAATAGCAATAGTCAAAGGGTAGCTATTTCTATTTATACTACACATAAGTCTGGCAATAGCTTTTCTTCGAAAGAAGGACCTTTGTCTTTTGAGATATTGAGCGTTGAACTCATAGGTAATTTACGCGATGGGCTTGACGATGATCAGCAGCATTTCGGATATGTCCGATATGGATTACAAAAGTTCAAGCTGCTGATGTGACGATGTTGCCTACTACGAAAAGGAGTTAACAATCTACTTTTTTTGCCCGCGAGAACATACAAATGGTTTCTATACAAGTACTTGTAGCGTTTCTTATTATTAGGCTTCCTTTTTTCTCTCGGATTTAATAAAATTTTATATCTGCTCTATTTTGAACATTTATACTGAACTGAAGTAACAGCAGTGGTTGATTACAAGCTTAGATCGATATTCTTTTCCTCTTTCTGTTCGTTCACACGATAAAATACGAAAAGAGAAAATGGAAAGAAAAACATATATATTCAGCACGAAAAAAAAGAGGGAAAGCAGTAAAAGGCGTTAATTTTCACGTAAAAACAGTTTTTCATCTATTTTTCGAAAACTAGACTAGGTACCAAAAACAGACACCGGATTCGGAATCTACGTGCAAAAACCGACCAGAATATGTATACTGTTTCCTTCAAAGCCGGACGAAAAAAATTTTGCCTAATTTGCTATGTATTTGAAATAGATGATTATTATTGATAATTCATTGTTTCTTTTTGCCAGTAAATTGAAGCAACAATATTTTCATTATCCTACATGAGTAGATAATCAAAAATGTCCTTTCAAACCGGAAGCCAAGAAAACGTAAATCGTAAGATGGAAAAAATTAACGAGTGTTTTTGATCAAAAGTTCTCTAAACACTTTTCGAAAAATCATACGACCTTGAGATTTTTTGTGTAGATTTCTTACCAGTGAGGTATAGAATAGACAAAATAACATGTATTTTGAAATTTTTAACTCTGCTAGAGTGAGTTATAAATTTTTTAATATTAGGTGATTTTTAAATTAAAAGATGTGATTTAAATTTCATAAAAAACCTTATATTTAATTTAAAGCTTGAGGAATTTTGTCAGGAAAGTCTTATCACATAGAAAATGGCCAAACGTTTGCTTCAAAATGCTTCTTTTGCAAGAAACTATGGGGAAGGCTTTTTGAAAATACTTTTAGCGCTAATATTCTCCATGGGAACTGTAAAAGTTGAACGTCTCCGTCAAACTTCATACTGGTACGAGGAAAATTTGTTTCTGTATATAACTTGATGTCCTGTCTGACGCAAGAATTGGATTTTCATTTGAGAAGTTTATTTAAATTTCAAAATTGGACGCAAAAAAGTGGTAGTTTAGATTTTCGAGGTTTCTGAAAAACTGGTTTTCCAGAACCGGTTAGGAGAGGCCTATGAACAAAAACGTCTATCATATTCTAAATCATCATGGTCGATTACCTATAAACTACCGCATTTCATTAGAAAAGCGATTGGACATCTGGAAAGGTTCCCTCGTCAGTTTAAATTACTGTCAAAAGTCCTTTAAAAAACACTATTTTTTCATATAAAACCATTTCGCTTAGCTTAGGTTCTTTCAAATTATTTCTTAAAATAACGATCTCTTGTTTAGGCGCATACAAATGTAGATGGAAATCAAACTCACACTCTAAGAACCAGTTCAAAGAACTTTATGTTCGCTATAAACTGTATTAGTTGGATAATTTGGGCTGTTTTTGTTTTGCAGTAAACAACTATGGCTAGGATTTGACATAGCCAGACTTTTGAATTTCTCATTTACTGATTTCTGGTGCTTAATAGAACTTTAAAGTCCGAAAAATTCGTGGAAGGTTTCGTAGAAATCCTCATTTCTATAAAAAATAGAAGCATATTTAAAAAATCGGACTCTGTCAATCCTAGCTATAGATATTAGCTACAAATCAGAAAAACATTTTTTTCTCTGATGTACTGTTACCAAGAATTCCTGCACGTGACGAAAGCCCTGATGCTAAAAAGCAGCCTTAGGAAAAACGCAAAATAAGTTTTGATTCTGTTAAATGCGTTTTTCTTAAAAAACGCATCATTTTTTACTTTCATTGTTTTTCAAAATTGTCTGCCCCTATCTCACTCTCGGATCATTGAAAATTTTTTCATGTCGGGTTTCGATTAAAGATACACGGTCTGATGCAGAATTTCATGCTGATTACGAATATGCCCTTTCTTTTGCATGCAACTGAGAAAAAAATTTGTTCCTCGTCGAACGTTATTTATAATCTTCTTCAGAAGTCGAGCCGCTGTTGGTAGAAATCTTACTTTGGAACTGCAAAAAGCTGCTAGATATATGCAAAAGGTGGGCTCTTTCAGAATATCGCGTCCAAAACCGTATATCACTCCATTAAAGTGCCGAAACGTCAAATTCAGTTCGAAAATCTCGCAGATTCCTCTACCATCTACAAATGATTTCTCAGCTATTCCTAAAGCAAAGCTTGAAAAAATAGAGATTTCACACATAGACCTATTTTTTGATGCTCTTTCTCATGGCGTGAGAAAATTCTGAAAAAAAGTTGTGCAACAGATAAAATTCTCAAATCCTGTTTTTCAGAAACCTCCTAGAAAACCTCCAGAATCCGAAACTCAGCTTTTTTTAGCGAGTCTGAAGGAGAATCAGATTCTGAAGAAAATGAGACGTCAACCATTTGTCTAAGATACTCCTGAGTTGAGTTATGCTCGTTAACATTTTCTATTGGTTTTTAACCTGACGATCGCTGGCGCTATTTGACTCGAAAATCTTAATCATTATAACTCTGATAGTTGATAATAGTATAACGTACTAAACATGACTCACATTCGCAAATATTAAATTCGTCATAAACAGATGTATTTGCTCTTACAAGAACAAGGACATATACGTATCGACGGTGAGAAGAGAAAAGGAAAAGTTTTCATGCTTTATTTAATGTATTTTCGAACTGAGTTAGATAAGTATTATTTTACTTCACTGGTTTTTCGAAAGATGATACTCTGTGGCTTCGTTTCTTGTTTCGCTGCTTGGTTTCAGATTGAACAGCTTTACGATTCGACTGATGTCAGCGAATGTATCTGACTGGTATCCCACCGACAGTCTGTAGAAAAAGAGGAAAAGAGGAGTTCAATTTTTTCTGGAGAAAAATGCTAACAAATATCCTCACAAGTGTAGAAGCATGTAACGGTGGCATATCTAGGATCTGCGTTCAATGGCGAATCGAAACAGCGAAAAATGAAATTCAGTATTGTTCACATATATTTTGCATCGTTCATAATATGCACACTGCAAAATGAGAAAGCAAACGAGAAAACAACAGAAATTTCGTTCATCTATTGTTTTTTTCGTCTAGCTGTGATCACTATTATTCTATATTAAGGGCTCCCCTCAGAGATTATGATTTTCGGTCAAAAAATCGGTTTTGAGATAAGCACATGGAAACATAGCCTGAATCTGTTTTGTTTTTGGTTACAAAACTGTTTTTTCGGGAATTTTGTGCAAGTTTTCTAAAATCGGGTCTTCGAATAATAGTTTTTCCTGGATGCTTATGCAATTAAAATTTTTCTGAACACACGGCTTTATAGAACAAATGTTTCTGATCAAAATAAGACCTCGCACAACTCTGTATGACGTTGCATCAAAAAGTTACAGGCATTTTCCTAGAAGTCGCATTTTATACAGCTTTTAATACAGCGTTTTCTCTACTTGGAAGTTATACCTGAAGTGTGTCCCAAGATTTTTAATAGCGGTACCTGGAAAACTAGTAAAGGCTTAATTAAAAGATGTAGTCCATGTAGCTAGGTGTCTAGTTTAAAATAAAACAAATCCAAACTCTCCAGCTTGAAGTATATTAAAAAATCTTGGGACGCACCTCTTTGGACCTTGATCTCTGGAAAATCCTGAATGGTAAGACTTGGAGACAGAAAAATCTGTTCATTCCCGCAACGCATTGTGTCTAACATTTATGGAAAGTTTCGTCAGGATCGGATGTACGGAGATAATTTCTGAGATCCCTTAAACATCCGTGATTTATTTTCAAGTGGCAAGACCCGTAAAACCCGAAAATTTTTTTCCTTTGACACGACACAAATCAATACTTTTTTACTTCAATCCGAACCCGACTCGACCCGAACTAATATTATTTACATTGACCCGAACTCGACTAGATCCAAACCGTTTCGGTCTCTGTTAGACACATTTTGGACAGTAAACTGTTTACAGACCTATAATTTATCGAAAAAGTACAGGAAACATATCACTTTTATCCTCTTCTACTAATTATACCACCATCCCCAGAATTATTCTGTTTTTAACCCTATATGCCCGATTGTCCCTTCCAGTGGACATAACCATAGCTGCTTGAAAAAAATATAACGCAACGCTAAACCAAAACTTTTTCGATCGGATTCTTTTTCCAAAAAAGAAGCTAACACTCTATAAGCTAACGATTGTTAATAACAAGAAGTTTTCATCAAGTCTAAACAAAGGTATACACGTTTCAAGTTTAGTTTGTATGATTAGTTGCCGGACGTAAAGGATTAAACGTTTGTTAGCTAAGTCTGATCTGTAAGAGAAACTACTACAAACTTAATTATTTTAGTCTATGAAAGAGCATTATTCTAGACCTCAAAGTGGTTAACTAAATTTTCCACTTAATTTTATTCTTTCCAAAAGTACCCTGTTAATTAACTATAAAATGGATATTTTTTACTATTTTAGGACACAATTCTCTTTTCGTCACTTTACAAGACACCTACAAAAATGTATTCACTGAAAGTATTACTTATAATCGGTTGTTTATTGATGTTATATCAAAGTACAGATGGTCAATCTTCTCGTACTACTCCACGACCAACTCCTCGACCAACTCCACGACCAACTCCTCGACCAACTCCAAGACCAACAACACCGCATCGGCGTCGATGTATTTGCGATTGTTGTATGGGGTATCAATGTCAATCATATCGTGTGGGAGACACATATATCAGTTCTGGAATATGCAGAAATTTTGATTGTGTAATAGCATGTGGATCGATATATTATCAACAATGTAGTTCACCTGTATCAGTAAACGCTGCACGTTGTAAAGGAATAAAATCATTAAATGTGAACATTTGGATAATTTTTCTGTTTACAGTAGTCACAGTTTTTTCAATATCATATGGAGCAAACTAAATGTTATTATATGTTGTGATATATCATTGATAAACTACATTGTTTTGTTAACTTAATGTAGTAAGCTTGTTCAATTCTTTCAAAGATGAATAGCACATTTACATGAGTCGATAAAGAGTAATAAAACAACAAACTTTTTGATCTGCTTAAGCTAGCTTTACTTTTGGAAAGTCCGAAGAGAGCAATGATGTACATGATTGTGCATAACCTTTTTCTAGGAGGATACAGCTTCAGCGACAAATAATGTAAAAATGAATTATATACCAAACGAAAGCTCATCGAAAACGCAATCAACGAGTATAACTGGTAACCCATAGGTTGATTATGAGCTATAGAATTATGGAAGTTTCTATCAGGTGCGTCAATTCTGAATATAGTGGTGCTTTAAGTAAAGTCCCATAACTTCATTAGAACAAAAGCTTTTCCATCGGGTTGTTTTGTTTTGATCAGAAATGATTGCTCTTCAATACCTAACTGCAAAATCAAAACTTCGACCGTGTTTTCTGTTTTTTGCTTGGACACACTGTGAGAAATTTTTGAAACTTCGTTCTCGAGTACACCACCAACTCTGATACTTCTTTTTTACAGACCACGAGAAAGAGCACATTCAGAAGTAGAAAAAGAACCGAGTGGCCACTTTTGCTACACTTTTTACGGAAATGACAGTAGAAGAAAAAAGTTCAAGCCGAAAACAATACCAAATATACAAAGTTTTCAGTTTTTCTATCAACAATTTTCTATACCTTCTAAAGATCGCTTGTGTAAATTTCTACACACGCCCACATATTGCACTTTTTCAGCGATAGTCTCACAAGTGTAATTGATTGCGCCCACAAACGTAATAGAAAATGAATACAAACAATGTCTATTTCTCTCTTTCTCTCTTTCATACTACAACAAAAAGGGGAAATGTATTTTACTCCCTATTTTATTTATTCAGTCATATTCGTTATAACTTTACATCGTGTAAATCGTCTCTATTGTCTTGATAATGAAAATTATAATTTTCGAAACGACTTTATTTTTATAAAAACTTTTTAATTTTGATTCTTATTAAATAAAGATGAATCTTAAAACAGCTGACACTCTCAGAGAGTGGCAATAGCGCTACCCAAATTTTTATATATAACGCAGAGTAGAGAGCTATAAACTGGATATTATTATTATAGAATTTACAAAATGAGTATCGTCGCCGATATGCGAAAAGTAGCCATCTCTGATATTCTGACTATAACTCCGCCATTTCTTATCCGTTCTATTAGAGCAACATCTCATTAGGAAGCCTGGTAAGAAGTAAACAAAATCACATAGTTCCTAATTTTTCTGAAGTAGGAAGTGACTATTTAAAGCCCACATCAATGGGAGAATTGGCATTTTGAAGGATCAAACTTTTTGAGAAAATGCCACCTTCGACTCTTCAAACAGAAGTTAGCTAAGACTTCTCTATCACTTGCACGATTATCAGAGAATTCTTAGCTAAATTCTGTTTGAAGGGTCGAAGGTGGCATTTTCTCAAAAAGTTTGATCCTTCAAAATCCCAATTCTCCAATTGATGTGGGCTTTAAATAGTCACTTCCTACTTCAGAAAAACTAGAAACTATGTGATTTTGTTTACTTCTTACCAGGCTTCCGAATGAGATGTTGCTCGAATAGAACGGATAAGAAATGGTGGAGTTATAGTCGAAATATCAGAGATGGCTACTTTTCGCAAATCAACGATGATACTCATTTTGTAAATTCTATAACTCAGCCAGAATAAGTCCGAAACTTTTTTTATTTTTCATCGTCCCAGTTTTGATAGTAGAATCCGAATATGAAATAAAAAGTATATGTGAACTTTCA